TGCTTCTTAATTCAAAAGGCTTGATAACCTCGACTCGCTTCTGGTTTTCATTTCACTTTTTTTGTTTATAGCGTTTAGATATGCCCATGTGGATACGGGATTACAGGTAACACCAAGCAAAGAGAAATCCGCATGCCTTGTTCAATTTCAGGTCAGGGTCCTTTACTGAAAGTACCCCAAAGGGCAAAAAAATATGAAATCATTTATTGTCACACGATAGCCATGAAAACTGAGGTCTCTAGCGTTGATTGGTAATCAGTTTAGAAGGAAGGCAATTCTAAATTCAAAACCGAATGGACGTGGGCCTGACAAATCCATCCCGTGAAAAATCTACTTGCCACAGAGTCCACTGCATCAAAAACTACCTTAGTGAGGCTATATCCCTATTCTCCCCCTGGGGAGTCTACTGGTACTAAGGAGAGGAGTTAGGATTTTAGCGTAGATCACTAGTAGAATTAAGAGAAAAAACTGACATATGAAGTAAGACAGATATAGCAAAAACTATTCCAAGGAAAGTAATGAGAGGATCCAGATTGATTTTAATTTGATAAAGTAGACACATATTGCATAGTCATCGATATAGTGCTGTTGATAAATATCTGTGGTTAATTTCTGATCCATAACTTGCAAAATCTGAGGTTCTTGCAAGTCTCGATGCAAATTGGCCCTTGATAATGTAAATTTATCGATATAGAACTTGATAATGTATATTCATCAATATCGAGTTTTTTTATAAATATCTGTGGTTATGATCTATAACTTGCAAAATCTGACGTTCTTGCAAGTATCAATGCAAGTTGGCCCTTAATAATGTAGATCTATCGATATAGCACTTGATAATGTATATTCATCAATATCGAGTTTTTGATAATTATCTGTGGTTAATTTCGGATCCGTAACTTGTAAAGTCTGATGTGCTTACAAGTATCAATGCAAGTTGGCACTTGATAATGTAGATTTATTTCAAAGAAATCATAGAAAAATATCATTGCAATTATATCATTGTCAAGCCTTATAAAAATATGTAAAATCATTGGTTATTCATCGCCGGATTTCATCACTTAATGTTGCGGAGTAGGTTTGTGGTTTTGGGCGATTTCGCCAAACGGGGATTATTCTTTTTACAAGTGTGTGAATAGTCCTCTAAAACGCTGTTAGGTCGACCACCTGTTTACATAGAGGAAGCAGTTACTGACACCCTGTCGGGTGCAAAAGTGAACCTTCTGACTAGAAAGAAGTCTACCCACGGATGGCCTGGCTTCACTGAATGTCTGGTGTAACACTGAGTGCAAAATCTAATTTAGTATAATTTAGGATGAAACCTGTACATATTGGGACCATCAAAGTTTTAATTTATAAAAATCAAAGCTTCCTTCTTGATAAAAAATGCGATTCGGATCTTCTTTTTTTAATCATTTCTCCCAAGGAAGACGATTATGCCACTAAGACGCCTGGGGTTAAAAGAGAGTGAGAAAAAAAAAATTAGTGAGAAGGAAGAACATTAAAAGATCAATGTTCAGGAAGACAAGAGATGGTGATGAATGTTTTTTTTTTTTTTTAAGATCGTAGGTGTCAAAAAGGTAAGAAGCCGGAAAAGAATTCCACAAGCGAGAGGTGCGAGAAAAATTGTTTGAATAGGATATGTTTGTATCAACAGTAAAACGATGGTACCTAGTAACTAATCTCGTAGGGCGCTTGAATTCGTGCAAGATGAATAATTAAGAAAAAAATAGATTCTAGCACAACACACTGAATCAACATTCCTATCAGTAGACGTAGCAATTGATTCAATATAATCATCTCAATTCTCGATCCCAAGGTGCAAAAGGGCTGCTTACTTGGAGATTCGAATATGCATTGCCTGCTGTTGACACACACACACAGAGAGAGAGAGAGAGAGAGAGAGAGAGAGAGAGAGAGAGAGAGAGAGAGAGAGAGACACACACACACAGACATATACCTATCTATCTATCCATATATATATATATATATATATATATATATATATATATATATTATAATTTTATCATATAGACAAAACCATTTTACTCACTACAAAGATGCAACTTGGTTTCAGTGCATTTCAAATCCACTTTGACGGGTGAGAATCGAAAATGGTTGCACCTTTGTAGTGAGTAAAATGGTTCTGTCTATATGATAAAATTATAATAAATAAATAAATAATTATCGCTCTACTATTGGTAT